CTCTGCTAATTAGAAAACGTGCATCATAAAGTTACTTAGGTTCTTTAAGATTGCTTGTATTAGTTGAAGCACAACTTGTGGAGCTTGTTGACATGTCATAATTAAAATAGATTCTGTTTGTCTCTCCTTTCACGAATCTCATTCTTTTATCTTCAACCACATTATTGTTTCACCGTTTTGGTCTTTTCACCAGTTTTTAATTAGAGTGTGTGACACATTTTTTAAATAATAAAAGTCGTAGTATTTAAATTCTTTACATTTGTATGGTTCTATACGTACTTTTTTATCATCAACCTTGATATTTTTAGTTTCTCTTGCATTTAAAAAAAAACAGACAAGTAATCTGGCATCCCATAGATAGATCTGTGTTTTTAGCAGTTTCGATACTACTATACAGAGTCAACTTCCATATAGGAATGTCCAGAATGTCCAATGCGGCTTCATATACACACAAATTGCAGACGCATAATTTTTGAGAAAGTTTAGTCAGTCCAGTCCAGTCAATCCACTTGGAATCTGTACTACGGTCTGTAGATCAAGAGTAATTGAAACAAAATCCTGTTGTTTATTAGATCTTTTCTTATCATTTTGTTTTTAAAGATTACATACTTCTTTTCTTTTATGATTTTCTCTGTAATTGTCTTCTAAATCTGATTTATTTGTTGGATTAACCATATCATATTTATTACAAACTAAACATTGATCTTTTTTAGGAACAAAAAATCTTAAATTATAGTCGTTAATAAATATTCTTCGATATGTAATTTCGCTAACACGTTCCAGTTTCTTCTACTTACAGTCATTTATATAAAGTTGGTACATTTTTCTTATACTTAAATTTTTGTCCAAAAATCTACGCTTTGAACTTTGGCGAATATAATGTGGGCCCATGGTTGGAACAGACTCAATATGATCCTTCACGATTTTTCGGGTTTCGCTGCCTGTTTTATTTGCCGGTGTATGCTTGTCTCTTTTATCCGTATCCGCATAACAGCCTATAATATCAGTTTTTCTTACAACATCTTGTATTAACGACGCTGTTATACAAAGTGTCTTACAAAAAAATTTCTCACATACCTGTATGTCTTGACCATTCAAAGAAAAGTAACACTTCTTGAAAAATGCACGTGGTTTTGATAAACTTCGACGAACTGCAACGACTCTCTTTGGTGGCTCCGTTTTAATACGTGCTATAAAAAAAATTATGGCAGGTTAAGCACAATAACTGGCACATTTGTAAAAGCACTCAGAACAATTAACTGGAGAACTGGAGAACAGAACAATTACCCAATCTTTGGAGTTAGCTTTTCTCCAACGTTTTAGTGGACTTACGTCTTTCCATACTTTGTCAAGAAGTAGATTTAATAGCCAACTAGATAACTCAGTTGACACTAAATTATTCATGGGTGCACCTATTTCATTATTTTCTTTCTCATCATTTAGGCTATCAAGGTTGGCTGTTTATAAGTCATATAGACTTCCAAGAGAGAGAGTGATCCCTTTTCACTTAGCTGATATGTGGGGTCTACATCTGAAAAGTCACTATCACAAATGGATTCGATCATTGAGACTATATTGTTCTGAGAATCGTCAAAAATTGAACTGCTGTCTTTAATTTCAAAGGAATCTAAAGAACGCAAGATATTGCTCAACAAATAACTAATTAATACCTATTAACAAAGTATTTTAAAACTTTTTTCCTAGTCACAAATATAGAAGACAAGCAATTTTACTTAATAGTCTGCTTAATTTTAGCATAATATTATATTATTAGCTTAATTTATTAAAAGATAAATTATATCATAAACACCATTAAGATCACTTATGGTTTTAGCTTAGTAATCATTTCTAAATTTTAACTTAACTCGTTTTCAGGCAGAATGAAGTAAGTGTACTTAAAGGTTTTTACTAATCGATATGAAAAAAAAAATTAATAAATCATACACGTAAAATGTATTAAAGACACTTATCACCTTTTTACTGAATATGTTATGCAGTAGTAGAAATATATTTTTGTTCGGCCTAATAATATATATATGGGCTTATTTTGTTTTACATGCAACGGAACTTTTATTTTATGGAAGTAAGTAGCGATATGTTGTTTTGTTTGAAAATGAAAAGTTGGTTAGGTGTAACTTATTTGTTTATTCCACAAATTATCTGCTGAATGGTAAGTCGTATCATTTATTGGGTTTTACCTGTATGTAGAGCGAAAAAAGCTGAGAATGATCTCCATATATGTCCTAGCCATTTTGCCCTTTGCTGTTTTATTTTACAAACTATATCCTCTTTAATTTCGTTTAGTAGTTCATGATTCGTTCTTTGTCTATATTGGTTTTCATTAATTTTTATTGGTCCTAATATTGCTCTTAGTATTTTCCTTTCTAGTATTCTAAGGTCTTCCTCTTGTTTTTTTGTCATGCTAAGGGTTTCGGCAGCATACATCATAGTCGGTCGAATTATTGTTTTATATATTTTCATTTTCGATTTTTTGCTCAGTAATTTATCTTTTAGAAGCTTTTTATTTGCATAGTATGTTTTATTTGCTGTAATTATCCTTTCTTTAATTTCTGTTTCCCTTTCTCCATTGTTTGCTAATAATATTCCCAAATACTTTAACTTTTCTACTTCTTCAAATATATATTCTCCCAGTCGAACCTTTTTGTTTTCATATTTTTTGTCAAATCTCATTATTTTTGTTTTTTCTTGATTTATTACTAATCCCATTACTTTCCCTTCTGCTACCAATTCTTTTAACATACTTTCCATTTTTTTTCTGTTCTTTGTTATTATCACAATATCGTCGGCATATGCTATTATTTGTCCCTCTCTCGTTCTAAGTGTACCTTTGTTGATTTTTCTGACTATATATTCCAGGGCAAGATTAAACAGAGTTGCAGATAATGAATCTCCTTGACGTACACCTTTATTTATAACAAATTCTTCTGTGTCTCCTTCTTGTGTTTTTACAGTTACTACGGTTTTGCTCATTGTCATTTTTATTAATCGTCTTAATTTGTTGTGTATTTTCATTTCTCTCATTGCTGTAAGTAATTTCGCTCTGTTTATTGAATCAAATGCTTGTTGGAAGTCTATAAAAAGCAGTTCAATTTCTATTTTATATCCATAAACTTTCTCCATAATTTGCTTTACCGTATGTATGGAATCTGTTGTTGACTTTCCCCTAATAAATCCGCATTGATACTGTCCCATGATATTTGTTGTCGCTTTGGCCAGTCTTCGTTGTATTAAGGTTGACATAATTTTATACGCTGTGTTTAATAATGTCAGTCCTCTATAATTATTACACATTTGTTGGTCTCCTTTTTTATGGATTGTGATAATTTGTCCTTTGTGCTATTCTTCTGGCATCTTTTCTTCGTCCCATATGACTTTTATTAATTGGTATATTTTTTCTCTGAGTTCATGTCCACCATATTTTATTAGTTCCATGTTTATACCGTCTATACCTGGTGCTTTACCGTTGCGACTACTGTTTATAATTTCCTCAACTTCATCTCTCGTTGGTTTTTCTAGCTAGGTTTCTATCATCGTGGTCTCTTCTTCCACATTTTCATTTAAGTCTTCGTCCTCTTGTACTGTTAATAATTCTTTAAAATAATCAGTCCAGATTTCTTTAAACTCTTTGTCATTTTCTGATACTTTTCCATTTCTGTCCTTTATGCCTTTTATCTTTCCTTTGAAGGTTTTGTTCTGTTCGCTAATTTTCTTATAAAATGCTTTTGTGTTTCTATTTGTGTTTTCTTTTTCTATTTCATTTATCTTATCATTTAACCAGGTTCGTTTAATTTTTCTTATTTGTTTCTTGCATTCTGTCCTTAATTTGTTGTATTCTTCTTTATATTCTTGTCTATTTGTTCTGATCCACCTTTGTCTTATTTCTATCTTCTTTTTTAACATGTTATGACAGTCTTGATTATACCATTCTTCTTTTTTGTTCTTTCTCTCTTTCCTACATGTGCAGAAGCTGTTTCATTTATACATTTTTTTATATTGCTCCATTCTGTTTCAACATCCTCTGTATGTTCACAGTATTCCTTCAGTTTTTTGCTTTTTCGTTTTCGCAGTATACCGACGATATAATATTAAACGGAGTTTTAAATCTATTGGTGTGCTAATTTCTTCCATACCTTAATACTATTTTTTTTTTTATATCAATAAACTAGAGACTTAAGGCTCTTATTTTATTTCCTCTTTAAGCATGTGTTAATTGCATTTATTTGCCTCGATCTTGAGTGGTTTGTAACAATGGTGAATTTTATATGCATAACAAGTTTTAATTTATTGGAAGTATATGCTAAAAATGATGAAATATGCTAATAAGTTTTGTTTAAGATTTAGAGGCGAAAATAAATTATCATATTGCAATCAAACAAGATCTGGGTGTTATCCCAGACCTTCGATAAAATCGAAAGTGGTCCAGTATGTAAGTGGATCAGTTACTATAAAAACGCATCAGTCTTTTAAAATAGTATCAGTTTCTCACCAGATCTACAATAATAAAATTAACATGGCATTCAAAGTAAGTCAAAATTTTATGATAACTATGTTGTACTGTTTTTGACGATTTTATATCCGGTTCTACATTAACAAAGTTCTTCAATTTTAACCACATTTACTAATTATTACTAGCATATTATTTATTTCTGTTATATCAATCCAATATCTGTCGAGCGGAACCTGAGGTACTTTTTTATTATATTCTTTTTCTAGGCGGTAAATACTTGTTTAAGCTCAATATTTTTGTCATGTTTCTTTTACTAAGAAGCCAATCTAAGTATATAAACTGCTAACTAGGGATGTTAATATATTTAAAGCATTACATTGATAATCTTAACTTTTATTTTTTTTTAATCTCTTATATTTTAATATATCGATACAATGCAGATAAAATAAGCAGGTTAAAATAAGTTATAGAATAATACTAAGCTGAAAAGTATACAAAAAAATATAGGAATGTCACTCAATTAATCAGTGTTATGTTTACAATATTGATTACCTACAAAGAAGGTAGAGTATCAAGGGAGTATCAAGTAAGTATCAGACGGAACAAGAATAAAGTACAATAAGAAGAATTAAGAAGGGAAATTAATGTGATTTGAAGAGCACATCTAAATGTTTTTGATAACATAATAAATTTTACTCAAAAATTGAAGCAAATATTTTATCAATAAGATGTTTATCATAAGGAATTTTTTTCCAAGAAATCTTTCATCTTTTTCTATTTTAATATATATATATATATATATATATATATATATATATATATATATATATATATATATTACATTAACATAGATTAATTGAACGACTACTAATTTTGTTTGTATTGTTTCATTTTAACACATTTAACACTAAAATATGTTTTTTAGGTTCTTGTTTTCGCATCCTTGTTGGCTTTTGCTAATGCTGGGATTTATGGTGAAGCTCCATTAGCTCTTGCTGGTACTCCTGTAGTATCAGCTTACTCTTCAAGCCCACTGTTGACGGCTCCTGCTATATCCAAATCTGTTGTTCAAACATACACAAGCCACGCTGCCCCTGTAGCTGTTGCTGCTCCAGTTGTTGCCAAAGCTGCCCCATTGGTGTCCGCATATTCCGCTCCACTGGCTCTACCAGCACATGGACCAGTATTGTCTGCTTACTCATCTCCGTTATCCTACGCCGCACCTGCACCTGTTGTTTCAACTTACTCTTCTCCAGTTGTTTCCGCTTACTCGTCCCCCGTTGTATCTGCTTACTCGTCCCCCGTTGTATCTGCTTATTCAGCTCCAGTTGTTGCCAAAAGTGTAGCCAATGTAGCTTATCCTTCACATGGTCCAGTGGTATCCGCCTACTCTGCACCAATTGTTACTAAAAGTTTATCTCCAGCACCAATTGCTTATGCCGGACATGTAGCTCCAGTAGTATCTGCTTATTCTGCTGGACATATTGCACAACCTTGGTAATTGAATAAATTTCGAAATAGATATTTAATTTATATATTTATAATATAAAAAATGTGTTAAAAATTTTTGTTTCATTTTATTGCGTTCTTAAGTGCACCATTACAAAAATGTACAATAGGGTGGAACGAAAAAGTCGAAGTCATTATTTTTTTTTGGGCTAATGCGAAAAAGTTGCGTTTTGATGTATAATAAAAACTGTAAAAAATTTTTTTTGGATTTGACCCTATCTTCAGGTTCCATATTGAATTTAAATTTTTGGAAATAACAAAAAAAAATAAATTTAAAAAATTTATTTTTTTATTAGTTTTTTTAATCAAAATCATTGTTTTATGATACAATATACATTTTATGATTGGTAGTCTGATTTTGTGTTAAAAAACGGCATAATATTTCTAGACTGCAACCTTGAACGAATAAAGCCATCCCTTGATTCTGGTCCATAAACAGCAGCTGATGCTTCAGTTACTAACTTAACAGTTCTTTCGACAGATTGGGTATGACAGAGGCAGTTTAAGACCTCTATTTTGTTGTGATTCCCGGAATCAATCATATCCCTTACATTTTCATTGGAAATATGTTTTAGCAAAAGCGGAGCCGTAACACTGCATTCAGAAATAGAAATTAAGTCAATATAATCTTCAGCACTAAAATTTAATGTTGGTATTTTAAATCTCCGGATCTTTTGTTCTTTCTGACTTTGTCTAGCTTTCAGCACTCTACGTAGTCCTAGCACCCGTATATGTTTTCGTTCATCTTTTATCATTCCGAGTAATAAATTTTCGGGATGGGCAAAATAAGCATTCCTTTGGATAACTGCATCGACAATTCTTCTTTGGTCAACTGGTAGAAATCGTGAATAATGGATCATTCGCCATAAATGTTTCGAACCATCAGAAGAGCTAGGATACAATTTTATATAAAACCAAACTGGGGCATACACTTTTTGGATGAAACTTACTAACATAATTAATTGAGGGCTGGAACATTCAGTGCCAACATACAATCGAAGCAATCGATTAGCAACTGTCAGCCACCTTGCGTGTGATATTTTCCCAGGTTTTTGAAGGCTCAAATCATGGACAATCATGGAATCAAATGAAGGACATTTCCCTGCAGAAACTGCTTGACTGATTTGGTATAAGTACTTCTGATCGGTACTAAGGTCTGTTGTTTCTAATAATACTGGTAGGTTGTTTTCTATGGCAACGAAATTGACGACAGCTTTCTCTTTACAGCGTTCCAGAAGTTTTCGTATTGGCCCTGAAAAACCAAGTGGTCCACTGGTGTGTCCATCTAACTGTTGTATTAAATGACGTAGAGGTAGTTCGTTGTAATGAAATAAGCATACTAGCCATTGAAGTGAGGTGCCGCAGTATTCTTTCAGTTTTCTTATAACGCCTACTTGAGGGCTAGTGTTTACTACCGTACCATCGCATCCAACTGCGCTTAACTTCGATATATCAATATTATTTTTCAGGATGAATGTCTGTATGCTATCCGCGATGTTTGCAGCCGATCCTGATAAAGGAGACACGTGCCCTAGATATCGAGAGCCTGGTTCTTCAATAATTGTTACATGTTCTTCTGTAACTACTTTTCTATAAAACTTTTTGCCTTTTCTTTGTTGCAAGACAGTCTTGGCCTTACGGCGATCAAAAAATATACTTCTGATTGACAGTCCCTCCTTTTGCTTCTGGAGTGAACGTCTATGAGATGCACGCTGTCGCCTTATTTTCATTCTATCAATTACTTTCGATGCATCAGTCACAGTTATAACTCCCATATCTTTTTCAACGGTACATGCTTTAAGAACAATTTTTTCAGTATTATATTTTTGAGAACTTGCCTTTGCCTTCGTGGTTCTTTCCATTTTCTTCCTTATTGCAACAGATGCTGCAATATCCACTGGTCCAATTGCCATTTTTCTACAGGATCGTTGATCTTGAAGAAAAATTTGCTCATTTTGTGGTACTTTCTTGGTTTTATCACAAGTACACTCACACATTGTTCCACTCATGTTGCACTTGCAAGCCGCGATATCAAATAACTTTTCACACTCATTTCGAAACTGGCAAATCTTTTCTTTGTATGAATTAGATGCCTGCTGAGTTTTTGTGTATCGCTTCAGCTTTTGATACTCTGTATAAATATTTTTGATCATATCTTGAATGCGCTTATGCGATAATGTTGGAATAGAAGCTTTTATCCATATTTGTTCTACTTTCGTTGCAACGGTATTCGAGGCGTCGGCGATAGATGGATCTTTATTATTATTTGTCAACTTAAGTTCATTACGAATAAAGAGAAAGCACTTTAGAATGTCACACTTAGTGGGTAAAACACGATCGTTGAAAACACCAATAATTGTTCCTAGTATTTCACAGTTCTAACTACTTCGCGTTGACATTTCGAAGAATATGTTTATATACGACACGTCTGTGTGAGATAAGAAACTCAACATTACTGTTATCTGTTGTTGTGTCACTATGCCTGCGTGAATGGTTGCAAGATTGATGTAACATCTGTGTCTGCGTTTTTCCCTTCTCTACCTACTTGATCTACAACTGGCGTTGTAAGCGTCATTTGAAATTTTGATATGGGTGTGGGGCAAGCATTATATATACCATACATTATATATGCAAATATAATACAAAATTGATCTATTTTTTGTAAATTTCAGTCATTTTCAGGGACAGGGGGAGGGGGCAAATGCCCCCTTGACCCTATCAAATGACGCCTCTGGAACCTGAAAACATCGTTTAATTTCAAAATAATTTTGCATAAGATGCTTTTCAATCCTAAAGATGACTGTTGATCACAGCCAAATCGATTTTTTCAAAAAAATATTTTTTTTGTTTTTTTCATTTTTCAAATCCAATATGGAACCTCAAGATTTTTTTGTATTTCAAAATGCTTTCGCACCGTTTGTTTTCATTACCTGACACAACTTTTAAACGATTGTTATGGAATACTATGCGTTTATTTCTTCTCCGGACTAACTCTTTGTTTTGGAATTAAACAGAATATATTGACATGTATAAATTTATTATATTAGAGGATGAAAATTACACTGCCTGTTATTTCTTAAAACTATGAATTTATAAGTTCTGTTATCTACAATTATTTAACGATGTTTCTGGATGGATTTGAGTACAAGAGATTGGACTCAAATATTAATATTAAAATAGCAAATACGGATAGCTTATCGAACAAAGAAATAAGAGAAATAAATTATTATTATTCCATAGATACGAAGTATTAGGCGAATAAACTAGCGAAACTTATTTATTCTAAATAGGAAAATATTTATGAAGAGTATTGATTCTGATTTCTAACAGCAAATAATTATTAGTGATTATACATGAGAACTTTTCATAATTGTAAATAACATATACCAGGTGACTAAAAACTATATAGAAATACATAGATACTTTAATTATCTTACATGTGAGTAGGTAGGTACATTACACCTCCTTTTGTAAGAATGAAAATAATTGTAAAATGAATTTTCATTTAAATGGTATAAAACATTTGTATACATTATTATTTTATTTTAACACATTTAAATAGTTTCTTTTAGTCTCGATAGTCTTTCACTTCGTCTTATCGGTGTAGTCTCTGTGAAACTAGTCTCTTCACACTTTTTGGATTCACTATAATTATTGTCTTTATTATGTTTACAATCTATACTTAAATCTGTCTCATGTACATGTTTTCGTTTACTTTGACATATATTTAGTGTTAAACAATTTGTAATTTGTTGACAACTATGTGACGGATTTCTACGAAATCGTCGGTAAAAATATTTAATTATCCTGTATAAAATATAAAGTAACATACATTTTATCAAAAATAAGATTGCATAAGTGAAATAAGAACTATTTTTTATTGTGTCTGAAAAATTAATATTTGTTTCTGAGGTCATTTTCTCTAAATTATCTAGTTTATGGCTTGCTAAATTTAATGCATCTCGATCGAGATTATTTAATTGTAAGGGAACAAGGTGTAATTTGGATTCATTATTTATCTTAATATCATCACAACAGACTTCTGGAAGGGATAAATCTGGAATGATAGACTGAAAATTACTTTCTTTTGGATTTGAGACAGATATCAAAATAGTTGATCCGGTATAAGTTTTGCAATTATTCGAAGTAGAAAAAATACCTGTGTTTGAAAGAACAATAGATATTGGCGTACTAGTCTGACAGCTTAAAGTTAAATCTGTTGGTTTGGGTAAAACATATATCCAAGAATTTGGTTTGTTTAATTTATGCCAAATTTCATATTCTGTTTGAATTATACGAGTATCGCAACTAGATGGTATGTTTGTTATTGAAGTTAACAATTCAGTTTCACAAATTGGATTAGTGTGTGTAAATCGGAAAGTATCAGGATTTTTGCAAATAAGTTTTTCTTCATCTAATGAATAACAGTCTTCTAATGTATCAATAGTAACATAAATGTTTCTATTTTCTGAAAGAACAAGATATTTGACAGATGGAAGAATAAAGGTAAGTCTCTTTAATGTTGGATGAATTATAGGAAGAGATATTAGTTTAAAAAGAGAATAAGGAGTATTACTAACCAAAGGTATACTAACCGTAATTAAAATCTTGTTATCAAAATATATATATTTAAGTAAAATGATATCGAAATATTTATGAGCATAATCGATAGTCAATGGAAATGGATAAGTCGATGTACTAGGTAAATGCGTTACCGTTTTAGATAATTCTTGAATTAGTTGCTCAGGTGTTATAACAGAAGGATGAAGGTTATTATTTCTTGCAAATAGAATAACGTTTATTAAAGTAGAATATTCTTGTTGTAATTCTGTTATAAAGAAAGTTAGTAAAGTAAAATGTTCTTCAATTTTTTGTTTTAAATCTAAATTAAAATATTTATTATTCATTTTATCTGTGTAATTGGTAATTGATTCAAAATTTTTATCAAAAATCACTTTGTTTCGGTCTAGATTTGTAATAGAGTTATTAAAA